TCAGATTTTTGTATTCATTTCTTCTCAATTTTCTAGGGATGATTACATAATTATTTTTTGGGGAGTTTATAATTTGTAATCCTTAGCCTTAGTCACCTACTGTTTTTTTGGTCCGTGTCGCAGGTTCCGGAGGAAGACCAGTCTTGACTGATCGGGCTCCTTTTAACATACATTATAAGTATAATAAAGCTATGTAGAAAACAAAAAAAATTGTGTCACAAAAATACTAACCTTTCCCAAAAACACTTACCTTTCAACAAATACTATTCCTATCCCTGGGATCGAAGTTACCAGTTGTATTACCTATCAATTTGAAAGAACTGGCTATTTTGACGGAATCTGTGTTTGCCCGTTGTTAAATCAAAAAGCATCTAAACTTGGGTGAATCAGAAGGTCATCTTCGATTCGTTCAGGTTTGAAGTTCAGCTTCCCTACCCTTTCGACTGATTGTTGGTCTCGAGAAGGACCAATGGGTTCATGACTGATTGTATGACGGCATGAGGTCCTTAGACATCAGTGCCGCCCTTCACGGGATACCCCTACCTGGCTGGGGTGGGATGGATGAGAAAGTTGTTCATCCGTTAACGGGGGACATGAGGGCCTCATTCGATAGAGTGTCGGGGCCTTCTATATCGGGAGGGGTCGTCTACAGCATATTCTGTGGCTTCCCTAACTAACTTGGGTGAATCGTTCAAAATAACTCAAAAGGTGCTGATAAAGCGTTGATAACTATTGGTTTCACTCGAAATCCTGAGGATAATAAGGAAGGATTTTTTTCTTCAAGTTTGTATTCGAAGGAAACTTTGTGCATGCATATTTTGCAAGCAGTTTTCGAAGGTCCTTCTAAATCGGCATTTGTTTACCTTTCTCAGCCCACGGATCACTTGAAAACCAAGCACAATTTCAAGGACCTGCGTAATAAGAAAACATCGGAACAAATTATGGACAATTTATTTCAGTACTGCAAAGAAACTTTTTTATGAAAATTAAAAATACTGTATAAATGTTAAGGTTGGTGCTGATTGCAACTAAATTAGTAATGTTTAGGTTGATGTTGTAATCTGAAATCGGATGCCAATTATTGTAATCTATTTCTGTATTTGTTTTTGATATACACAAGAGGTATGTGGATGAGAAAAATAGTAATTGTTTCAGTGCTTTTTGAGATATTTCGTTAAAAACTCATTTTGAATTCACCCATAAACTTGATAAAGAAGATTCTTTGAAATCACGTTTTAAAGCTGATTCACATGATATTTCTATTAATTTATTTTCCTGTACCGTTGTCAAGTCGATGATATTTGGAACATATGTGTTTATAGGGTCTACTATTTAGTTTCTCTGTCGGATTCTGGAAAATAATCCCTAAAAGAATACCTCAAACCGCGGAGGTGTTCAATAATTTCGTCTTCTACTTGCGTTGGCAACATTTTTCCACCAGAGGATTACAAAAACGTTACCAGTGTAGGAGAGTGATAGTAGTTGTTTTAATTGTACGATTAGTCCAAAGATCAAGCTTTTTTATCATAGTTTCTATTTTATCTTCAACTTGGAAGATGTTGCTATGTCTTCTTTGTAGACTCAGCTTGTTGAGGGCACTGATCAGCGATTACGAGACTTAGTGGCATTTATTTATCAATTTGAATGTCCATAAATAAGACGGCGGACCCCCAAACACATACTGGTGGTCCCCCAGGGGTCCGCGGATCACAGGTTGAGAAGCACTGTTCTAGATTAAAATATTCCCAAATATTCTACTGTTCTGGCTAAATGCGCCGTACGGAAGCAGAAGCCAAGTAGAGAGAGAGAGACCTACAAGGAGTTTCTCAGAACTTTGATTGTGATAAAGTGGTTTGAAAAATATAGATTGCTGTTTGGGTTTTCGTTGTACACACTTATTCTTTGATTCCTAGAACCGATGAATGCTTGAAATTGAATCCAGCGTATCGAAAATACTGACAATCATAGATATAATAATGACTTGAAAACATTGAGATAAGCGTTCACGGACAGGTATAGGTGTTCTGTGTTTATTGTTTAGGTGTTTTAATCTTGCAATGAGTTCAAATAAAATATGAAATTTGTTAGTGGCATTTCGCTTGACCATCTCTAACAAAACATATGTGTTACCATGAAGACTTGGGCAAGTGTTTTTGGACCTAAAATTTATCAGTATTTGGCATCTCTAACAGGTATGTTTTTCAGATTGCGTATATTTTTGAAAATTTTGATCTGTAACAAAAATGATTTTGAAAAAATAATGAATATAAAGTTTTCTGCAGGTGAGGCATGAGTAACTCATTATTTATTTCACTCACAGAAAAGTTGTTCTTGCTCGTTTGCCAGTAACTGGTCATTTGTCTCGAATAAAATATTCGTATAACATTAAAAATTCATAAAATGGATGGTTCTGGATCCAAGTTCCTACCCAAATATTATATAGAGGTACGAATTTCCATTTCCAAAAAATATGTATCTGGTGAATTTGATGACAATCGACTTTTACTAGCTTTTATTGAAAAGTTTTATCATTTCTGGGAACAAATGATTCAAATTGGACATGATATAAAAACAAAAATCTACCTGAGTTTCATATTGATATAATTAAAATCTGACCAAGTTACCAATTTCATTATTACAAAACAAATTTATTGATGGAGAATTATTCAATTCTCGCTGATGATTTTCAAATCTTATGATTTCTATGCTTTCCAAATGTTGAATATCCTTATCATGATTTAACTCATGCTTCTCTACCAAAAAATGCTTCACGAATGTCAAATTGGTAGTCTCATTCGAAAAACTACATTTATGTTCTTTCATACTTCCGGGGAACGGTCTTTCCGTTTGGCCGATATATAGTTTTGGACAAGAACCACAAGTCAATGAAATTTGTTTTCAATTTGTTTTCAATAAAATTGCTCGAAGCCTGTTTCCGTAGTTTTTCAGAAAGAGTGAAGTCAGTAATAACCTCCTCGCAGTTGTTGACCGTAATTAGTTCAATAAAGCTCAAATCTCTTTGGCAATTGCTTCCTGAAAGTGGAATAATCGATAATCTGTGGAACATAGAGAGCCTAAAGTGATTTTTTCCAATATTAGAGCCCAAACTTTGTTTATTAAACGGTTTTAGGGTCAAATTTAATAATTGAAGTTCGACCCGCTTCCTATTGACAGATTGATCTGATATTTGGTACATTTTAATAAATTATTTATCATTGTGAATCCAAGATGGCCGCAGCTACAAAATGGTGGATTATATATTTTTCACAACTTCCTCAATATGGGTATCAAATGACAGGACTTGACTAGTAGAATAGTAGTACACTTTGCAGACGATGCAAATTCAAGATGGCCCCAGCTACAACATGACGAATCACATATTGTTTCACAACTACCTCAGCAACGTCTAAATTGGTAGCAAATTGCCAAAAACGACTCTCCTCGATAGGAAGACTTAACAGACTGTCTCTGGTCTGGATTCCTGGCCATACTGGCTTGGAAGGCAATGAGGCTGCTGCAAGCAGCTTCATCGGACCAGAACCTGTCATTGGCGAGAAGATTTATGGACCCCTGGCAGAATCATCCAGTATTGGCTCACTCCAAGGCGTTTATTCACCCTTCGAAGCTTGATATCAAACAGTTGTTGGACTACAGTAGGGATGAACTACGATGTCTAACAGGCCTTCTTACAGGTCACTGTCATTTGAATCATCGTATGCAGAGACTCGGACAGTCGGAAGACATTGTGTGTCGCCTCTGTTTGGCAAATGCTGAAACAGCAGAGCACATACTTTGTACCTGCCCCGCTTGGGACCGAATCAGGTTTTTAGAGTTCGGCAGAGCCGTACTCTTACCATCTGACCTGAAAGACCACCTACCATACAAACAAATCGGCTTCGTTGAGAAGCTGGGTTTATTTGGTCGACTGTGAATAGGTTTGATCCACAATAAACCTTCGCAAGTTGCGGTGGAGGGTTAAATAGACCAACCCACTTTGGGCCTAACCTAACCTAATCTACCCTTAATTTCGTCGTGGACTTCCACTGTCCACAAAATGCAAGGTAGCACTGTAGACCACGCAGAAATTGTCTGAAGAAGGACAAACATACGTGTCCCTTAGTCTTTGAAAGGTTTTCGTATTGAGGAGTCAGATTGCAACAAATTGTGGGAAAATGAACCAAATTCCGCTTTCTGATTCGATAAATTTGTTGAGGGTTAAAATGAACACCAATATGTCTTGGAACAATCATATCGCTTGAATTGCAAAGGCTGCTTCTCAAAAGTTTGGAACACTGTTTCGAACCAGAGAATTGTACACAACCCAGCAACTTTGGATGCTTTATGAAGCTCAGATCAGACCTTCTTTGAAGTATTGTTCTCGTGTATGGAACTCCACCCCTAAGCATATCCTGAAGCTGCTGGATTCCATCCAGAAGAGAGTCATCCACCTGATTGGAGACACGAACATCACTTGCAACTTCCATAGTCTGGAACAACGGAGAAAAGTTGGAGATTTGTCCCTCTTTCATAGATACTTTCACGGGAGGTGTGGCACGATTCCACCAAGAGCGGTACATATCAAAAATACGCGACGGACTGTGGCTCCTCATGGTTATGAGGTTCAACTTAGTACACCTCGAACTTCAGTGTTCAAGGACTCTTCCATCTGGGGTTTCCAGAGTGCCTTCAGCTTAGCTTTGCAAACTGAAGGCTGAGGAGCCTCATTGTTATTCGTAGATTAAGAATTCTGTCGATTCCCTAGATGGCGTCTAAGTAAGGGAAGATAACCTTGCTTTTACTTACTCACGATTCTAGTGATATAGTTGTGATTTATGACCAAGATAGCGTATACGAAGGAGCTCTCTCATAGCCTCTCCTCCTCATTTTGTGTAGTATTTGGTATTTACTTTTGAATTATTTATTGGGACATTTGAAACAAACGGACTTCCAACTTCTCATTTTGTTGAATACATATTTTTGAATTGGATTTTTTTTCAGCAACTATTTGCATATTGTCAGCTGAAATGCACTTCGGCTGGAGTTCCCCATCCATTCCACTCCTCACAAACGGCTCTTACAAAATCCACATAGACGGAGATGAGGCCTCTTGGCTAGCCGTTACTTTGTTGCCGGGAACCATCGTAGGTGCCATCATCGCAGGAAAATGTGCAGGACTTTTTGGCCGAAAAAAAGTTATACTTATGACCAGTTTGCCTCTTTTGCTAGGATGGATCTTGATTGCAGTTGCAAACGAAGTTGCGGTATTGCACGTGGCAAGATTTATAGCCGGAATATCCATTGGACTTTCTTTCACTGTGATTCCTATGTATTTGGGGGAGATAGCAGAGCCTCAAATCAGAGGTGAGTTCAAGAAGAGTTCATTACTATTATTGTAGTGTGAGACATAGTTTAAATTCAGGAATTTTGATACTCATCATAACGAAAGGTCCAATTCGAATAATTTAAAGAGGAATTCACAGTTACACAATAATTTCGAAACTGAATTTTATTAGTTCGGACTTCTATTGTTCCATATAACTCTACTATGATTTGAAATATATGAAAGAACAAATAAAATTTTAATGAAAAGCTATGTTTAGCGGTAGAAAGCTCTTTCAATGTTTCAAAAGAGCCAATCTGTGTGATTATAATCATCGGTTAGTATCATTTTCTGTTGTCAAAACACTGAGTTAAACTTGTATCAAGAGAAAGCATTCCATAGTATTGGAGCTGAGGAAGTTAAAAATATTGATAGAATAGTTCATGAAAATCCAACCTACATCATCATCCTAACCTGATTTTTTATGTTCAATTCAGAATGTGTAAATTTCTGTAAACATTTTCGTCCAAATGAGTATTTGGAATAAGGTGAGCACATTTATCGAAAAATTTAAATAATCTATGAACTTTTACAATTCAGAATCTGTTTACAAACTATACATATAGTTAACCTAAGTTTCAGCTAAATCAACTGAACAGTATTTTTATAGTATATTTTTCTAAGAAATGTTCCACGTGATTCTTTGAATCGATGTAATTTTTTTATTTGAATTTAAACTGTGAATAAAACTAAGTGTGTGTGGAATATCATCGAAATTTTTTATCCGCTTAATGAAAAACCTATTGATGTCATTATGTATGGAATATAACATCGCTCAAATGTCCGCCACGGCTTTTCTGGATGGAGCGCATTCGATACTTTTTTTTGGTGCCTTGGGAGCTGTCTGACTTGTCTATTTAGTCCAAGTCTCCAGAAAACACTGCAGCCTCTTGGGCTTATTGCGTTTATTCTCTCATCTTTCCATGACACCCATTCCATCAGTCTCGTTCCCTGTACTAGTTTGTACAGGTTCTGTGTTGGATGTTCGTCAAATTCTTCTGGATGTAATTTTGTACGTCCATATATTGCCTGCCTCCTGTGATTCAGTGCCTCACATACGCATAAGATGTGTAGAGCTGTTTCTATCCCTTCGTTGCATAATCTGCAGCTGAAGTCTCCGTTGTACAGCCTCATTTTATTCAGGTGTCCTCTAAGCGGACAATGACCGGTTAGTAACCCTGTAATTATTCTGAGCCGATCCCTACTATATTGAAGTAGTTCTTCGGTTCTTTTCTCGGGTAGTTCCCTAATTAAGGTTCTACTGTGTTTGTTGCGCCAGGTACTTTTGTCCAGTACTCTGTGTGCTTCTTATTGGTCCATGTCCTAATCTGGTTTCGTACCAATGATTTTGGTATGAGCCTCATCGCTGGAAGATGTTTTTTGATGAAAATTAGGCTCCAGAGTCCATTTAGCGAACATACGTCTTTGTCTATGGACGTTTATCTTCAGTTCTTGGGTCAGTTGAATTTTGTACGGGTGCAGGCTCAAGTCACGACGCAAAATTTGCCATCAGCGCGGTGTAGCCAAGTGCAGACATGAGCAACACTTGGTTGCCAAAAACTGAAAAATAGCACAAACAAATAGAGTCACCAACAGGAGCGCACCGCACATTTGTCATTTCAATTAGGAGACCTAAGATTTCTAGGATATCCTAACATTACCACGGAGGCAGCTACAGCTACCTGCGTAACTTCCGGGTCCAGGATATAAATATAAAAGAGGTGTTATCGAGTGTCTTTTTGAGTTAAATCATAGACACTCGATAACACCTTCTCTTGTATATTTATATTCTGGCCTCGGAAGATACGCAGGTTGCTATAGCTGCCTCCGTAGTAATGTTAGGATATTCTAGAAATCCTAGGTCTCCTAATTGAAATGACAAATGTGCGGTACGCTCCTGTTGGTGACTCCGTTCTTTTGTGCTGTTTTTCCGTTTTTGGCAATCAAGTGTTGCCCATCCTCGCACTTGGCTACACCGCGCTGATGAGGCCATTGCCAGAAAGACGTGCCCGCGGTTTGCCAATAGTTTTTTTCGAGTGCTGTTCCGACTGATTTTTTCCTTTTTGAATTTAATCATACACACTCAATAACACCTTCTCTTTTATATTATATATACAGTGTAATCCCAAAAGTAAGCACCATATGGAAAACTTATTTATTAAGGGTTTTTAGACAAAAAGTTATTCTTGTGCGTCCCCTAAAACTAAACATGCACCAACAAAATACAGTAAAATACACATAATATACGAGGAGCCTTCAAATATTTGATTTTGAGACCGAAGTAAAG